GTGGTGTCCGCTCTGCATGGGCATGTCAGCAGAAGTGAATGATGGCTCCCATGGCTAGAGGGCGCAGGTCTAGAGCCTGGTTCCCTCACACCACTGTGGAACACAGAGGGGGTAACAGAAGACAGTCTCTCCCCTAGAGTCTGCAGCGGGCTCACCTCGGGTCAGGTCAGGAAGGGCCATTTTGGGCCAATTTCCCGATGTTGGTGCTCATGAAACAATACTCAGAGAGGGGCAGCGACTTGTCTAAGATCACACAGCATCTTAGTGGGTGAACTTACTCCCTCCAACAGACATGGAGAGCAAGCAAACTCACCCTTCATCCTTTGGAGAAAAGAGCACAGTACCACACACTCCTCATTTCCTATCTGATGACTGAGCGCCAAGGAGCCTCCTGAGACAAGGCATAGGCAGAAGAGGGATCCCTTGAGGACCCCAAATCACCATCTGGCTGCTGACGTAGAGAGAGAGGTGTGTGGTCCAGTTTGCTTTGGCAATGGACTTCCCATGACAGATGGCCAGGCCTGGGCTCCCTCCCGAGTCAGTGCCGCCCTGGGACAGCTCTGTGAAGCCTCGGGCCGAAGGGGGCTCCTAAGGTTGACATCCAAAGACACCTGGCTGGGACTGGTAAAACGGCTTAGCAGCCGACGGCCCTTTCCACATGCCTGACCTCAGTTCGTGCCCTGAGACCCACATGTCGGGGAGAACTGACCCAGAGGCTCACACACCCTCTCCCTCCTCCCCGGAATGACCACGTAAATTCTATAAAGGAGACCCTTGGCTCAGCGGATGACTGATGTGCTCCACCCACATGATGGACTATTACTCGGACATAAAAAGGAATGGAGTCCCGACTCACGCTGCAGCATGGACCGATCCTGAACACATGCTCAGTGACAGAAGCCAGACACAGACGGCCACGCCGTGCGTGATCTCGGTTACAGGAAGCATAAGGAATACTAACATTCATGGAGACAAGGTGTAGATTTGGGTTGGCAAGAGCTATGTAAAGGGGATGCGGGAGTGACTGCTGATGGGTGCGGGGTCTCTTTTGGGGGTCAAGTTGCTTTGGAGCTAGCTGGAGGTACCAGTTGCGTATTGTGTATGTACTAAATGCCACCCCTCAGCACCCAAGTAAAAGCCTAGTGTGGTATCTTTCTCATAGGACTGGGGAGGCAAACCCCAGAGGACTCCTGGGGTTCTACTAGCCAGCCTAGACTAGTTGAATTGGTGAGTTCCAGGTTCAGTAGGTGACCCTGGTTTTTTTGTTTTGTTTGTTTGTTTTTAAATATGGTTGAGAGAGATTGAAAAAGGAATCCAGCAGAGACCTTTGGCCTCCATATTCACGTGTACACATGTGCAAATATGCTCACATACACAAGTACCACACACACACACACACACACACACAC